GGATCTGGTCCCCATGGCGTGCACACCACGGTCCCGAGAATGTCTGCCTCTGCTGCTCTGCCCCCAGGAATGATCTCTGGCAGCCAAGGTATTGATCATCTGGTTCAGTTCGGGTGGAGTCTTAGTGAGAATATCCCCTCCTGGGCATAAAGACTCAATCACCCTCTGGCTGTCCGGGGAGAGAGCACTGTAGAAGTTCCCCACTGTGAATGCATCACTAAAGCCATGATGGGGACACTGCCAGAAATATCCCATGTACCTCTCCCAAGCATCACGGAGTGACTCATCTGGCTCTTGGCGGAAGTGAGTGATCTCCCGCTGGATCTCTGTAGTCTTCGATGCCGAATAGTACATGTGCACGAATTTGTCAGTCAGATCGTCCCAAGAGGTGATGGACAACGGGGGCTGGGTCTCCAACCACCTCTTAGAATTCCCCGCCAGAGAATGGGGGAAAAGGTGAAGGCGGATTGCATCATCGGGGACACCATTCAGTTTGAACCCGTTCGTCAGCTGCAGAAAACGGGAAAGATGTACCCTAGCCTCCTCATCCTTCAAGCCATGGAACTAGATAGAGGATGTAATGAGCTGAATCCAGCATGGCTTGATCTCGAAGTTGTTTGCTGGAATAGGCGGGTAGAGGATGACCGGGCGGATGTCAGCAATCCGTGGAGTGTAGTAGTACTCCAAGGTGGGACCCGGCGGCGGGTGATGATGATGAACCCCATCTGCCTGGGGTATGGGGTTGTTCCCCAGGACCTGATTCACCGGGGGAGCCTGCTGAGGATTCCCCTGGTGTGGATTGTAATCGCCGTCCATCCCGTACTCTTCCTCAGAATCGCTGCTCAGTGGCCGTCTATGCGCTCTTCCGCAGCCAGTCTAGCTCGCTGTTGTCTCCTGAGTTGGCGACAGGTGCGGTCAATCTCTGGATTCAACGGCAGTAAACTTCCCGACTGGCTACGGGTCATGCACTACCTGCACACACTCAAGCAAGCAAACCCGTGAAGGCACAAGTGGGACAAAGCAAACAATGCGAAAAGAAAAGCTAAATTAACATAAATCACTTTTCTTCAACAACCTAGCCGTCCCCGGCAACGGCGCCAAAAACTTGACTCACTTCTACTGTCACTCTAGGAATTGGCCAAGTGAAACCACTTCCTAAAGTGTAGTATAGCGGGTTTGGGTTTTAATGTCAACCCGAGTCCTAGATTTGATGACTACTCGGTGAATTCTTGTTATCTAGCAATGAAACTTTAATGCAAGTTTAAACTAACAAACAAACAAAGCAAGTAAACGGTTGTTTTCAGGTTAAGAGAGGTCACCCGGATATGGTTCCCCCTAGACTGCAGTTAAGCCGGATTGCAATTACCAAGTTCAGTTTCTATGATAGTTATTAAGCGGAAGGTTCTTAAACAGCCTGAAGTCTCGACTAAAGGTCTCCAGACCCTCTCAATCTGAGTCTCTAGCGGGCGACTAACCTCCACCGGAGTAAACAGATTGAGGCCCTAACGAACAAAACCTCCACTATCGAAGTAAATTCGGTACAGAATAGTGAGTTGGCTCCTCGACTAAAGTCACCAACTCCCTACCTCCAATCAAGGATGCTCTATCAACCTAGACAGATATTCTCATTCTAGGTTAAAGCAGAAATAACAGGAATTTGATCAGGATTCAAGTCATTCAATCATTCAAACCTCAATTGAACATAATCAAATCATAGAATCTGTACTTGGGTTCATACAATCAGACCTAACATACAAATCTAGGGTTTCCCATACCCAGATGAATGGGAGAACTACTCCATGGAGAAAGAAGCAAAAGCAGATTCAGACGCGGAAATCATACTGTGAAGGATGGATTTCTGCTCCTGGACGTTGATCGGCACTCCTCCAAGCTCAAGCCAAGCTCCAATGGTGATGAAGATCAAGCTAGTTCACTTGGGAACTCTTGTTCGTCGCTTTGTCTCTCTAGGAATCGCTCTGTCTGTCTAAAACTCGAATCCCCCTTCTCTTTTGGCTGAAATCGGCCTAAAAAACCCGATTCTGGGCAAAACACGGTCGAGGGCAAGGCCGTGCTTTGCTTTTGCCCGCCCGTGTTTTGCCCCGTGTTAAAAACACGCCCGCGCGCGTCGGCCAAAACACGGTCGTGCCTAAATATGGGCACGGCCGTGTTTTGATTTAGGCGCGCCCGTGTTTTTACTGCCGAACCTGTTCCCCTATATTCAATGCTTCGTTTCTCCCTCGTCCGGACTCCGAATCAATCGCCGTTTGATCCCAGATGCTTGTAGTCTCATCCTCTTTCTTTTCATGACAAGCTTGCATGATTATTTGTCCATAAAGTGAGGTATAAATCCATTTTTCTTTAGGTCATGGCCAAGTTTCTTCTCCCTAATCGCCAATTGATCTCTGATTGACTTGAAACTTGCGCCTATGCTTCACCTTATGTGCTAGGACCTGAAATGTGACAAAGGAACACAACCTAGCGTACAATAGGCCAAAGACGCGATAATTAAAGCTCAAACGATCAAGAAACAAAGGGGAAAACATGTGCAAATATCGAGTCATCAAACTACAAACATAAAAATATGCCATTTAGAGGTTGCAATTATAGTATTTCGGTTTTTCGGTCGGAATTTCAGTTCGGTTGAAAGAACCCTGATTTTCGAAATATCCATATTTTCCTTCCGAGTTCCGAACCCAATAGCATTATTTCGGTTTCGGTTCGATTTAATTTGGTTTCGGTTTGATTCGGTTCGGTTGCCCACCCCTAGTTGAGAAGCACTCCTATGAATTTATCACTTGTAGCTACATCAGGAGGGAGACAAGAACTGATAGCAGCTCAGCACAGAGTGTCGTCAGGTCGTTTGCGAGCTGGAATGGAGGCAAAGAGAGGTAGTTGCACGTTGGAGCTGAAGGTTGAAAGAGGTCATTTGCGAGCTGGAACGGAATCTAGACTAAGATAAATGTCGCCCTCGCCGTATATTTATTATCGAAATCGAGTGTCGAATGGCAATGCGGAGAAGAAGCATGACAGAGTGTTGATTGTGATAACACTGAATTTGCACATGTTTTTACCTTGATTTTTAGCTTGGTGTTCATCATACTATAGCCTATTTTACGCTATGTTGTGTTCTTTTGTCACATTTCAGGTCCTAGCACGTAAAGTGAAGTATAAGCGCAAGTTTCAAGTCAATCGGAGATCAATTGGTGACTCGTGGTAAGAAACTCGGGCATTACCTGTGGAAGAATGGATTTATACATCATTTTATGGACAAAGAATCATGTAAGCTTTTCATAATGAGAAAGAGGACTAAGAGCGTATGGGATCGAACGACGACTAATTCGAAGTTCGGACGATGGAGAAACGAGACATTCAAGACAAGGGAACATGACCAATAATTTCAACGGGTTGGAAGTCGATTCCGCGGTCATGGATTAAGATTTCAGACCGTGGATTTTGAGCAGGAGAAATCCACAGTTTGGTAAACCTATTCCACAACTGTGGAACTCAAAGGGTGATCGTGGAACATGCCGGTAACGAGTATAAAGGCTTTTTTTCTACGTTTTTGGAAAGGGAGAGCTGGGTTGTGGTTCCCAAACACCCAAGGGACGAACCCTAGAGAGAGAGAGAGAGAGAGAGAGAGAGACTTGGGATCATTCTTGGAAATATTTTGGAGGATTTATTCACCATTAGAGCTCGAAAATCAAGCTTGGAGTTGGAGATTGAAGATCTGGATAAGATTTATGTAGTCTCTCTCTTCTCTATGAAATAACTTCCCTTCACTTAGGTTTTGAGGAACCCTAGTTTCATGTGTTAGGATCTTTCTTGAATAAACTTTTGGATGCTATACTTATTGGTTTTAATCGATTGAGGCATGATTCGTTGAGTCAATTGAATCCTGGTCACATTCTCTTGATTTCTGCTTTAACCAATGATAGATAGAATCTGATTAGGTTAAGAGAGCTTCCTTGATTGATAGTAGTGAATTGATTGTGCGAGAGTCAGTCAATTCATTGCTTTGTACTGGAATTTGTTCCAAGTAGTTTAGATCTGCGTGAATCGCCTTAGTAGTTTATCCCGGTGAAGGCTAGTCGCCTGCCGGTTAATCTGTCTAAGAGGATTTGGTCAGGTTAAGAGATTCCAAACTATTTTGGATCTTCCGCAGTCTAATCTACAGTAAAACAAACAAAGGAAATTACAACTAGAACCTAATTGAGGAGCTAGGGGGAATCATAACTGAGTGAGTTCCCACCATGTAATTAGTTATTTAACCTTAGTTTAGTTAGTAGAGTAGTTTAGTAAATCAATCCTTAATCTGGTTTGCTAGACAATGAACTGAAGCTGAGTAATAGTAACTCTAGAGACTCGTGGATTCGATATTTATTGCCTGTGTCACTAACTTGCAGTATCTTTCATTGGTTACACTTGGCCATTGATAAGAGTTGTGTTTTAGCGAGTCACACTGCCAATGGATAAGGGTCTCGGTTGCGCAGAGGAGACGACTAGGTGACCAAGAGCAGCGTGGCCAATTGCAAGGGAGAACATTGATGAGCTGAGCGGCTATGGGTTTTTGGAGAAGAAGACGGCAACTAGTCTGAAGGACATGGTCGATTACAATTAGTATTTTTGTCTCCACTAGCCTCCAAATTCGCACAGAAGATAAGGGGTCGCTTAATTTTACCTAGAACGACGCTACATACACACGCAAGGCCCTCTAACTCGGTCCGGATCTACCGAGTTCAATCGGGTCTTGTTAGGTTTAACCGAGTCTAAGCAAAAGACTAACTAGATCACTGGCACTAGTTTCATGGACGAATCCGGGCTGATCTAGACCAACCAACAGGTTGACAACCTTGCTTATTATTGTTGAAATACCTAATGTACTTAGTTTGGGCGGCTTATTGTAATTGTTCTTAAGTCCTAAGCTAAGTAGGATTAGGGTTATGAAAGTCGTGCGGCTCATATGTATATATATCCTCCATGTATGCACTGCTAAACTAAGTGACGAATAATATTGACTCTGGAGAGTTCTACCTCTCTCGTGGGGTAGTCCTGAATTTCAGGGAAACCACATAAAGCTCGTGTTAGTATTTTTTATGTCAATTTTTATCATGGTATCAGAGCCCTCTGCCTAAGATCTTCGGTTGCTTTGCGTTTCGGCTGCTCATGTTGTGAATTGTGATCACAACTCATTAGGATTGGTACCCTCTGGTCGGCTGCTAGCTTGGTTATTATTATTATTGTTGTTATTATTATTATTATTATTATTATTATTATTGTTATTATGGCGGATCTAGCTGCTTGGGTTTGCTTCTCCTTTGACAAGTCTGTTTCTTGTTTCTATTTGCTCATCAGTTGCTTGTGCCCTATTGTTGTATGGGTACTACTTGGATCTTTGGAGCTTCTTTTCGGATATATTTGTTTATTTTTGTGTTGTTATCATTCCCAAAGTACTTCTTGGATCTTTGGAGCTTCTTTCCATATGTGTTTGTTGCTTTTTTGCATTGTTATCATGGAATCTGCGAAAGGTGATTCAGTGTTGGCACGATCTTATGAAAAGAACTTTTCTTTGAGGTATTTTCAATTTCTAACCTTTGTCCAAGGGAAGACACTTCTTCCCATTCTCACCGGTAAAAAAAAAAGTCGTAGGAGGTTGATGATAAGGCGCTGGTTGATTGGGAAGCGGGAACTGCTCATGTGATCTCTGGACTTCTCGTAGTTGTCGGTGTGCCTACAGGTCTTAGCTTTTGTCGCTTTGAGCTTGCTAGCGAATCATTTTGTTACTACGAAAGGCCAGTCTAGTGCCTCTCGATAGTTTGACGTTGAATTAACTGGAGTTTGAGGCATGATACTATACCCTAATCCCTAATCCCTAATACAAGAATCCCAGTTCTCAATTCACTAACTCAAAGCATGAGATTCGTTTAATCTTAAATGAAAATCAACGATTCTAATTCCGTATATGCACAACGAAACTAAAGTGAATAATATTAATTCCATAAAGTTTTATCTCTCCCATAAACTAGTCCTAAATCCAAGAAAACCCACGTAAATCTCGTCTTAATAATTTTTATTTCGGTTTTTATCAATTAGCGCAGAACCAAGTTGCAAATCCACCTACGCCCCCATTGCACAATTTTCATTTCCTCGGTCACATCGACCAAATCTGGCCCCTCGAATACCACGCGCGTGTCGTCCCACCACGCGCCGCTCCAGTCCACCGTTGAGACCATAAATGAAGCCGAGCGGGGAGGAAAAAAAGGGCGCTGATTTCTGGTATACAGAAAACGGCCTCCAATTTTTCTCCCTTTTTCTTCTTCTTCTTCTTCTTCTTCTTCTTCTTCTTCTTCTTCCTCCTTTCCCTCTCGCCCTCTCTCCACCGAAAAAGCCGAAAACTAATTAGACGAAGATGTCGATGGAGCTTTCTGCCTGCAATGTAACGGACAGAATCCACGCCCTTCTTCCCCAATGCAGATTCCTCGCCCCATACTCCCGCCCTTTCCCTCCCCGTCGCACCCTTGTTTTCTCCTCCTCCTCCGCCGCCGTATGCAAGGCATCGGTTCAGTCGGTTGACGGCGGGGTTGTGTCGGCAATTGAATCTGGATCGGCGACGGCGAGAGGAAGCTTCGCGGATACGCTGAGGCTGGGGAGCTTGACGGAGGATGGGTTGTCGTATAAGGAGAAGTTCATAGTGAGGTGCTATGAAGTTGGGATTAACAAGACAGCCACTGTTGAGACTATTGCTAATCTCTTACAGGTACTTCTTTTCGTTGAAGAGTGAATTTTCATTTTAGCAGAGGAAGCCTATGGTATATCTGTTCTGTTGTTCAATTCACGGTTGCGTTTGATTTTATGGGAAGGAAATTTTGGGATAAGAAATCTTTTTTTTTTCTGATGCTACATGTTTATACTGTGTTCCTCTGTGAATTCTGAAATTTCATGCTTTTTCGGTTAGCTGGAATTTGAATCTTTTCCCTTGTTATCACCGGTTGCGATGTGGGTTCTCTTTTTTCAGTTTGAGTGCTTAATTGTTTCTCTGGCTATCTGTGATGTGTCTTTTGAAACTGCAAATTGCTTCTGGGATTAGAAATGCCCGTCAGATTCAGATTGCGTTGCCTATTAGCGCCATCGTCACATTGTATATTCACTTATTCAGTCATAGCAATCAACTGCAAAAGCATAGGACCATAGCCCAGCTCCGTTTCCTGCAAGCTGGTTCATGTATGCCGGCTTACATTGGTGGCATGAGAACGTTGGCAATAATGCAGACCCAAGTATATCCTCGTGCATGTATAGAGATGTTCGATGGTCAGGTTAAAGTTCAAAGCCCTTGATAGAATATTTTGTCTGTTGAAGAAAAGTAGCCATGACTTGGTTTTTTTTGTAGGAATGGCTTTTCGGTTGTAGCGGTTTATCCCTTTTTCTTTTATCAGTACGCTTAGAATCACATCTATTTAACTATGGGTGCAGGAAGTCGGGTGCAACCATGCTCAAGGTGTTGGATTTTCAACAGACGGGTTTGCAACAACTCCCACCATGAGGAAATTGCATCTCATTTGGGTGACTGCTCGCATGCACATTGAAATCTACAGATACCCAGCTTGGTTGGTTTTCCTCCTTTCATCACCGGCCACCACATATTATTGAGCATGAAGTCCCTTCCATGTTCTTTGCTGACTAATAAGATATGGGCTTACATGCTTTACAGGAGTGATGTAGTTGAGATAGAGACGTGGTGCCAGAGTGAGGGTAGGATTGGAACCAGGCGTGACTGGATCATGAAGGACTATGCTACTGGTGAAGTTATTGGAAGAGCTACAAGGTAAGCTTTTGACTTCTTATATGGGTCGTTCTTCACCCTGCCTGTCTTGCTTATTTAACTGAAATGGTTCCTTTCGTTTCTCTAATAACACAGCATTTGCATCTGTCGACTATGCACATGATTTTATGTTCTCTTATCCAGTGATGTATTGTGGATTTCACAAAATTGGTTCTCTAACTTTCAGCAAGTGGGTGATGATGAACCAAGATACTAGGCGGCTGCAGAAAGTTAATGATGAAGTTCGTGAGGAGTACCTAGTCTTCTGTCCAAGAGAACCAAGGTACTCACTCCATGTATTTCAGCTGAATGCCTATTCTTTCATGACAGGCAGCTATCCGACTTGGCTTGCTAAGTCTTTAGTGCTTTGCCTTCTCGTTACTAAATTCCATTTCTCTTGGATCTGCTTCTCAATATCAGTTTTTATTATGTATCATAGTCTTCAATTCAGTAACTATCCCCTCCCCTTTTACCGGCGTTTGTTTTGTGTAAGCTGAGGTAAGTTCTCAGTTGTAAATGATGACTATGTGACTAAAGCTTATAGTTTGTTCTTTTACAGGCCTAATGGTCTCACTCCCGAAAAGAGAAGCTGAAAGTTGTTACTTGTTGCTTTGTTGTTTTTTGGTCGCTTGCAGATTATCATTCCCAGAGGCAAACAACCGCAGCTTGAAGAAGATTTTGAAACTAGAAGATCCCGCTCAACATTCAAGACTGGGTCTTACGGTAATATACTTGGTTAAGCTGCATTTTATGCTTCCTTTTTATTTTATTTTATTGATTATTGCTGCTTTCCTGATGATACCTGTGTCATTTCAGCCAAGAAGAGCTGATCTGGACATGAATCAACACGTCAACAATGTGGCGTATATTGGATGGGTTCTTGAGGTTGGTAACTGGAAGCCCATGTCTCGTTCATCTTGGAACTACCTTGCTTGATTTTCAGGGTCTTAATACTAAGTGTTATTCAAATGGAACTTCATTACAGAGCATGCCTCAAGAAGTGATCGACACGCATGAACTGCAAACAATCACCTTGGATTACAGAAGAGAATGCCAGCAAGACGATGTAGTCGATTCACTCACTAGCGTGGAACCCGTCGACGAGCCAGAAGTCCATGGCAAGACAAACGGGTCAGCCTTGTCACTTGCTGAGGAATCCCTCAACTTCCTTCACATGCTTAGATTGGCAGGTGAGCAAGGGCTCGAGATAAACAGAGGACGCACTGAATGGAGAAAGAAACTAGGGAGATGAAAGAGCCGTCACCCTAGGAGCACATTTATGTAACTTCCAGATAACTTTCTTATTATAGTTTTGGAGCTGGTGTGTTTTTGTTTTCCCAGGTGTGTGCTTTTGCTTGGTGAGTGGGTTAGTTACTTGGTTGTAGTTCGCTTTGCCTGCCCGGCTAGCTTTACAGAAGGTGTGGGACTGAAGATTGTTTTGTTATACTGCTATATATATAAAGAGAGAGCGAAGCGGAACACTGATGCATATACATTACAGCTAGCTGATAGTCACAACTCAATTCCAGATGAACAAACTGTTGTACCTTATATATCCCACCTGTTGTTTTTCCCTCTGCAGTCGTGTATACTTGTTTTACATTTGCCACTAAATTTTTGTTATCGCACTAGCCATCATCAAGGTTTTCAAATCGGTTTATACCGTTGCACTGGTTTAACAAGTGAAATGATTCTACTAGTGGTACGCCAGTTCATACCGATTTAACAAATTATGTAAAAATGTGAAAAATCATTAACATCAACATTTAAATAAAACATTTAATGTTGATAAGTAAATGTTTATACTTGAATCTAAAAAATAACATCAACATTTATCTTTTAGATTCATAAAATAAATTATAAATTCTTTTTTAATTAATTAAATTCACTAAAATGACGGCATTGTATTTAAAAGTCGTAGACCGATCATGCCATTTATACCAATGTGTCATGCCAATTTTATGACCGATACTGGTTGGACCAGGTTCAACCGATCGGCAACGCACCGACATGACCATCATTGATTTTATATTTGCATTGCACTAACGGTGACTCAATTTCATAAAAAATCTTATGTGCTAGTTAACCATTTTGTTTTTTATCGTAAAGTGAATAATGTGTCAACTAAAAAATACAAAATAAAAAAGATTATGTTAAATTATTTAAATTATAACTTTTTTTTAATTGGTTGTTGGCTTCAAGGGTTGAATCTAGAATGTGATAGATGTTCTTATTCTCACATTACCACTAAGAGGAGGCTTAGGATAGGGTCGGTTAGTAATTAAATCTGGACCTTTAGATCTAAGTGGATGCAGAAAATTCAGATCTAAGGGTTGTCAATTAAAAACATTTTATTTTCCCTAGTTTTATTAATCGACTCTTATCTTCTTCGTTCTAACTCGGATTTCAATTTTTCTGCACAGATGGAACAAGTTCGTTGTGCTCTACAAAATGAGATCAATTTTCAATATATTTCGAGAAACTTTTTTTTACCAACTACATACCATATGGTAACTTCTTCGTTTTTAAGTCGTTTATGAAAACGTTTGCTCAGAAGGAACGAGTTCATCATGATCTATTGGATCTATAAATTTCTGGGTGAAAAAAATACTGGATCAAAAATTATCATACTTTACCACTATGGTACGTGGGTGCTAACTTGTGGTAACTTGTAGTAAACAATGATGAAAGTCGTAAATAACAGTTAATATACTCCTACTATCATGTATTCAACCTTCTTACCATATTGGTATGTTCATACCATCATGGTACGCTTTCTTAACATATGGTATTAAATAGGAGCATACCATATGGTAATGACTAGTAAAAAATTATTCTTTTTTTTTTTTACTAAAAATATATCAAAGTGTATATCATTTTAAAGAGCACATTTAATCTGATTTATCTGTGCAAAAAAAATTAAATTTCGACTTAAAACGAGAGAGAAATCGTTCGTTAAAGATTAAAGAGGAATAGATAAAAGACTTTCCAGGAGAGAGAGGATACTGATGTTAGGGGTGGAAAACAATCCGGTCTGGTCAAAACCGGACCGGATTAACCCGGTTTTTTCCAACCGTTTTGACAAATAGCCCAACCGAAGACGGGATTGGATGGGTACCCGGTTTCAACCATGACCGGACTGGATGGGATACAGTCTGGTCCGGTTTCAACCAAAAACCGGATAAAACTGCTACCTCCACCAAAACGCAACCGTTTGTATGAAAATTGGAGAAAAATAAAAATAAAAAACCCTATCCCACCCCTCGCCAATCACCCATACAGATCCACTTCTCAACCTTCCTGATTCTTCTTCTCCATCTGCCTCCTCGCATCCACTTCTCAACCTTCCCAATTCATTCACTCTTTAAGATCTGCTCGACGCCGGCGAACTTGTGTCGATGCGATGACTCCCGCAAAACAGAGGAGGAAGACGATGGGGGCCCCTTCGCCTCTCTTATCGCCTCCTCCGGCGTCTTCATCACCGTCGATTAAGCAGCAAAGTTCAGATCTCATTGAGGTTCTTGCAGACAGGGGCGCCGCCATCACCATCTCGCCGCCGTTGATTCTGCCTTCCCCTTACATGTCGGGAGTGGCAGGGAAAGATGGTCAGCGGCGTCGCCATCACCGTCTCGCCATCGCCTATCTCCCACCACCAATTCTTCTTTTTCCTCCCCCTTGCATGTCGGGAGTAGCAGGGTAAAGATGATCGTCGGTAATTCGCAAACCGCACAATTTGTGGGTAATCATACTCACAATTTGTGAATAGTGGATTGGATGTGGGTATGAGATACTTTTTTAAGTAATCATTGTGCTCGTGGTATGTGTTTATTTTATAACAAAACCAAGTCAATAAATGTGGTTTATAGTTTATTTAACACTTTATTAACTTTCTTTTATGTAGGTTTTTGTTTTTGTATAAAAAGACGTCAATTTCGCAACTCGGGAGAGAATTCCAATTATCACTATAAAATTCAAATAAAAAAGCAAAGGAGTCATGTCGATGATAAATATGCTATGTATATTTAAATTAGATCCCCTTCAACCCATACTCGTTATCAACCTGCATCCTAAAGAAAGTGAAGTGACCTATAAGCGAGTGAAGTGAACCAAGAAGAGAGAGGTTGACTACTTAGAAAGTTCCGAATACCGAATCTTCGCTCGTTCCATGTCTTGGGCTTCTAACCGTGGAATTTGGCTTCCGCCGGCTAATCTTGCTCCCGCGACACACCTCCCTCTCTCCAAGCTTCGACGGACATGGTCCTGCCTCCTGATGCTCGCATCACTTCCCCTCTTCTCTTGGAGGTGCTAGTATATTGTACTACCAGCAAAATCTATTCTTGGAGGGATCACAAGGTCGCTTATGCAGATAGAGTGCAATTAGTCTCTTCGGTATTATATTCTCTTGTGCAATTTTGAATGACTATCTTTGTCTTGCCTATAATCGCCCAACCATATCAGTCTAGAGCTTATTAGAGTGATTAAAGAATAAATAATTTTTTATAGCATAGTAAACGTCAAATTTGGTAGTGATTTTGCAGCTCGTGTTCTTTTAGCTTTCTCGTAGTCAAATGCCAAAACTAGGGGAAAATCCAAAAATACCACTGTTAAAAAAAATTACAAAAACACCACCTAATTGAAAAAAAATTCCACTTCTACCACTATTTTCTAAAAACCGCTGCCTTGGGAGGCGGTTTATACAAAAACTGTGATTGAAGGAGGCGGTTTGTGCTAAACCCTAGCAGAACCGCCTTGGGAGGAGGCGGTTTTAGTGACCGTCGGATTAGGAGGCGATCCGACGGCAGACCAGCTACCAACTCAGCGGTCCTTGTCATGGCGAAGGAACTGTGCCATCCAGCGGCGGTTTTCAAGAAACACAACCAAAACCGTGGGTGGGAGACACAGTTTTTGGGTTGCAAAATTACAAACCCCCCCCCCCCACACGGTTCTGAAACTATAAATACCCCCCTCCCCCTCCTCATTTTTCCATACCAAAACACATTCTCCTCTTTCTCTCTAAGATTAGTTCTCTCTAACATTCCCCTCCCCACCCAAAAAACTAGGAAATGGTGGTCTGTTGGTTGCGGCTAAGTCAAAACTGGCATCAGAAAACATTTCCGAGTTTTTTCCTTCAAAACTCGTCGAATCTCTGTCCGGTTCCTGAAAATATGGCCGATTTTATCGAGGAGGAGGGGGTCTTTGTGGATGACTATCAAGCTGTACGTACTCATTTTGCTCTTGTTTTTGTTGTTGTTATAATTATTTTATTTAATCTATATACTAATTAATTTATATTGTTGTTATGCTATCGTAGGTTGGGTCGGACGTTGATATCTACGACCAAAGATATTATGTCGATCAAGGACCAATTGATCCTACCGTGTTATACAACCAAGAAAATCATCGTTCAAGGGATGTTTGGAACAATCATGAGGTACTTATAATTTCTCATGTCTATATCTCTTTTATTTTGTTAACGTAAGTTAGTGGTTTGTAAATATTTTAATTGTTAATCGCATTGGTTGTTTTTGCATTGGGTGATCACCCACCACCCTCAGATGTTGACGAGAAACCACATCGGGGGAGCGGTTTCTATCATGTTGACCTAGGGCAGCCTTCAAACCGCTCCTGGGGAGGGCGGTTTGTTGCCCGAACTAAAACCGCTTCCTCCCAGAGCGGTTTCCTGTTAAAACGCCTCCCAAGGTAGCAATTTTTAGAGAAAGGTAGGGATGGCAATTACCCACCCACGGGTAATTTTACCCAAATCCAAATAGATCCATTTAGTATGGGTAGGGTTTGGATGAAGTGTATATGGGTTTGGGTGTTTGTAGATGGGTTTTGGGTTAGGTATGGATATTGCTTTCATTATGTAAATGGGTATGGGTTGGATATGGATATCCATTTACTTGAGGGTGTTTTAACTACACACACAAAAATTGGACCTATTTGTAAAACTCAAAAATTTTAGGTACCAAAATGTAAGACCAAAAAATTTTAGGTACTAAAATGTAATTTTCCATCAATATTTTGAGAACTTGTATGCAAAAAAAATTAAATTTAGGTACTAAATATGCATATCTATTAAGTTTAGGTACCAAACTGTAATTTGTCTTTGGGCATGGGTACAAACCCAAATCCATGTGTTAAAAACCCAACCCAACCCAAGTAAATGAGTATGGGTACAAATCCATCTAACTCTACCCATCTACCATTTATTTGGAATCCATACCCAACCCAATTGGGTTGGATAGTAAAATACCCATGGGTATGGGCAAAATTGCCATCCCTAGAGAAAGGTGGTATAAGTGGATTTTTTTTGCATTGGGTGGTATTTTGTAATATTTTTTTAAATAGTGGTATTTTTGGATTTTTCCCCAAAACTAGCTGCTTGTGCAGGGAAAATTGGTTTACGACCCCAACCAACGCTAATGGGGAAAGCATGGCCAAACACGAGTTGACCTACCACATATACTTGGGTTGGAGTCTCAGTTGGCTTGTATACGACCATAAAAACTAACCCTAGATTTCCATGATCATTTTGGGAGAGTTGAGCAAAGGATCCAACCCAATAATCATACACTTTAGCCATGGTCTTTTGTTTCGCATGTCGTGCCTTTTGTACTTGATTGTGTCAGGGAAACAGTATGTGGAGAAAACGGATTGAAGGCGTGATTTTGATCACTCTCTTTAGAGTGTTTATTTGCCCCCACTACTTAGTTGCTGGTAGGATTTAAGCAAACCACCCCCAGGAGTCCCTCCAATCAAAGTCAGAAAGCAGCACCTTTCGTGACTTCTGTGGTTGTGTTTTTGGAGAAGGAAAAAACGAGGAGAAGAAGATGAACGTTGGACGAAAAGTTCGGCTGCAGAAGACTTTTTATAGTGAAAACGGCAGTTCCCTTCCGAAGGGTTACGTCGTTTCACAAAAGTCAAAATCAAATAATTATCCGGATTAATTAATTAAAATAATTCCGGTAATTAATTAGCCAAAAATTCAAATCCGAACGCATCAAATTAAATAGCTCACATTTTTTTCCAAAAACCCACTAATCACTTTATGCAATAACTAAAGTGGGAAGCAAACTTAAAAACAACTTGCACTTTCCTTCTCCCACCAATGTGGTATTTCCTTTACTCTTTGACTACTCTAACAGATTGTGTAGCCATCATAGTTTTGACTTCTGTAATGACAGTTCACCGATGATGTTAAGTTGCCTCCACCAAATGTTTGATAGTACAATCCACTTTCTCGGCACGAAGATGGTGATAGATTTGGGAAAGTATAGACGGGGTGTGTCTATGTGAATGTTCTTGCGAATTAGCCATGCCCACTTCCTAGTCACCAATGCAATCCAAACGCGACACATGAAGCCTTCATGATCGTTCAAGCATTGGACATGTATTTAATTTTTTTTATAGAATTTAGGGCATGATACTAAGATTCCTCTGTCAAATCATCTAGAACCTCACTCTTTTGACCATTGTTGCAATGTCATCCCCACCTCAAATGACCGAGTTGGATCCACCCATATGCAATGGGATCAAATTTTGGGTTTTTGTTGTGAACATACAGGGAACATGATGGGATTATCATTGTGTAGTGTCGCGTGCGAGGTTCATCTAACTCTCTTAACCTCATCGTCCCCAACATACCTTTCACCCCTTCAATGCTCACCGATGCCAAATCTCTACATCTTCCTCTTCTATGCTTTGCTTGGTTAATCACAACTCGAATTTAGTTCATCATAAGTTGTCCTTAGAAGCTTCAATGAATAGTGTAATTAGTGACATCGTTCCTTCCTCGCCTACATTTGACTCGGTCGATGGTGATTCATTTGTCAGCTATGCACTTGTTATGGTGAATTCTGAGCCTCTAGTTTTATGCAGTTTGAATTCTCCACTATCTGGGATCAACATTGCAAGCACACCATTAAATACCAAGAAAAGGGAGAAAATTGTTGACTCTACCAGTATAGAGTCGCACCAACTTCTGGCATGGTATGTTTATTAGTGTCTCCTTTTGTTGTCAGTTGTCACTATACTCCGCAAGAATATCACTTTTGTTTAGCCAAGTTATGGATAACGACTATTCAATGCTTCTTCCATATGGAGATCATTTTCTCCGTCTTTCAATCATACATTCATACTACTACTTAGTTCCTGCAGCCTAATCGCGGGTATTAATTCTAGTTGAGCATAAGTTGCTCGAGGGTCCAGCAAACTATACATATGAATCGTTGTACCCTCTAGCCATTTTTTATAAGAAAATCTAACTTCATTTTGGAACATGCCATACAGAAAGTGTGATAATGGAAATTTGTTGCAGTTTGCCATGATTTAAGCTAATCACGTCGGGGCAGTGATTTGTTCACAAGATGCGACTTCCTTCGGAAATCAATTAAAATTGCTTGAGATAGTCGTATTTGTTGTTACCAAAATAGATTTTGTTTTATCGTTGCTTCCCTCATCGATATTCTTTACAACATCGCTGAGTGAGCCAACTATCTTGTCCAAACTTATCATTCTAGAAAAATATTATTAGTAATATGGTAATTGAGAAATATTTTTTTTAGTAAATAGTGTAAATTGGAGAAACATACAAAAACATTTAAGGGCTCGTTTGCTTGTTGGATTTGAAAATGAAGGTTTTGAGTTTTCAGAACCTTTGGATTTATGATGGATTTGTTGCATATGGATTTGGAAGAGTACATTGTTTGTGTAGTTTATTTTTGTCATAGATTCATGATGAATTTGTTCACATTTTGCCTTCCATTATCAAATCCCAAATGAAATGTGGGATTTGCAAATCCGTGGGCCCCACGGATTTGTGTCCCTTAGCAAACAATGGACTTGTGCCAATTCCATTATGCTTGGGATTTAGGTACCAAATCCATCACCCAAATCACAAAAGCAAACGATACCTTATTGTCCCCTATTGGAGGGTTGGGTCAAATGGTTGGTATTGCTGAGGCACACTTTAACATTCAACTATGAAGTGGGATGGTTTGGTGTTAAAGCTCATTGGGTGTTTTGAATTTCCACCTTTCTGCTGATTACATTACTTGTGAATTCCAAATTCCTACCCACCACCAAACTCTCAGAACTGAAGAAAGTTAGAGGTTGACTGTTGAGTTTAACGCAAACAAGTTGTTAGGAAAACTAAGACCACAATATGTCTCCGCTATTGAGCGATTCAGAAAGTGGATTAAAATTAATTTAGCTAACGTCCTCGACATATTATGGTAGACTATACTAATACTAATATAATAAGTACGGGAGTTTAGTGGTTAGATTTGATGACTTTAGATCAATTAGGATAGCGATAAAAATAGTGAAAAATTGAGGAATCGAAACTAAAAATTACATTTGATCCAATTCCATTTGATTCAGATTTTGATATGGACTTTTACGAGAAAAAAAACATCCCCGTTTGTCCTTTTCTTCAAACAAGAAATAGATGGTTGAAACGTCCTCATTCTCCATGGGTAGCTGAGGTAGGTTAATTAGTTGGCAATGCACCTACCTAACCTAGTAATGACGAATAATTTGGGCTCAGGGCCTACATTTCCACTGATTCAAGTCAAATGCCAAAAGCTAGCTGCTTGTGCAGGAAAAATTGGTTTACGTCCCCAACCAACGCTGATCCCCCAATGGAATCGATGGTTCCTGCCTACTTAATTACTTCCTCCGTCTCTTCTCCAAATGTTCGTCTCCACCAGACCACCACTACCAGAATGCAGCCCCGAAATGGCAAATACCCATTTGCAGGTCGACAATTGGCATTCAATTGCCAACTACATCCAACTCAACTGCCCCTCTGAGGCTCCCACTGACCCTGGGAACTATAAATTTGCGGCGGCATTCTTCAACATCATAAGGCAGCAAAAGGAGGGGGGAAAAACTAAGAGAGAAGAAGCAGAATAGTGAGTGAGAAACATGAGCAAGGCATGGCTGGTGCTGGTAGTGGTAGTGGTACTGGGTTCCTCACTGGTTGCCCAAGGAGCAAGAGACGTTTGGACCAACGAGGCTACTGACGTTTACCAGCCACAGAACTTCTTCGGCCTTGGGCCCGGGGGCGGGCTCGGTGGCCTGGGCGGTTTCGGCTGGCCTTTCGGACTACTCTGGCCGGGCTTGGGTTGGCACCATGGACTTGGCCATTGGCTTGGCCATGGCCTTGGTGGTGGAATCGGCACTGGGATCGGAGGGGTTGGACCAGGGATTGGAGGCGCTGGACCGGGAATCGGAGGGGCTGGACCGGGAATTGGAGGCGCTGCACCCGGAATCGGAGGGGCTGGACCAGGAATCGGACCTGGAATTGGTGGGGCTGGACCAGGAGTCGGACCAGGGATTGGAGGAATTGGAGTGGGGCCAGGGGTTGGACCAGGGAAACTCCCAGGAGGGCCTGGCCTAGCTGCAACTGCTAAAGAAGACGACGGCCATCCTTGAAACATGAAGAACAGCAGAATGATAACGACGTATTAAATAAATATGAACCCTTCATTAAGCTCGTATTTTGCTTCTATCGAAGCGGGTGATATGTAAAAGTTCCACAAGTAATAACATTACTTTACCATTTTACCATCGTCTTTTACCTTCTCATGTAAGGATATTTACCATAATGAACCTCCAACTTCTGCATCAGCAATTCACATTACGCATCCATACCTTGCGCAAGCAAATTCGAACCTGAAAAACCACATATGGCTGACTGACAAGCTATAAGTCTATAACCTTTCACTTGATTAAACTGCTGGCATTCAGTCCATCCAAATTCCAATCACTATACACCATCTAACAGCGAAACAACAAGGCAACACACCGGCTGCTGCAACACAAGTTCAAGGGCCGAATAGAAACAGATTTTGCCACTTCATGAATACATGACAAATCTGTTTCAATTGCACATGTTAAGATAAACTACTTGTTCCTGATACCAATCGAAAGATTAAAACAGAAAAAAACGAAAGCAATTTTGCATCTGTAATGCTACCGCTGCTGTCCCCCCGTTCCACCGATCCATCTCAAAGCTTATCCTGATTAACCCTGTTACAAATGGAAGGAAATAAAGTAACTTAGATTGAGGAACAACCCCGATCTCGCATTCAGTAACAACAACGCAAGCGTAAGATCGCAAGACTTGAGTGACATAGTTCAATTTTCAGATAATTCGCGACTCCGTGACTTGGTGTCATTTGAAGGCTCTGCATCTATACACTTACTTCCACCATTTCATCTAGCATCTTATCCCTACTAAAATTGTTTTATGCATGCTTTCACAAGCACATAAATTCTATCTCGGAAGCAAAACTCTGAAAACTAACACTGTAGAAGCTAGCATCAAGAACCAGAGAATCAAGGGAACTTACACAGCGATGGCATATCTGTACATCGGTATCAACCGGTTGATGGAAGGAACACCCTAATAAGATCTTTAGCAGTGACTTTTTTCCTGCAAGTAGGACATTTAGGCTGACGAGCTATTGCAGCCTTGATACATTTCTTACAGAAAATGTGTCCGCATTTGGTTGATGTCTCCTCAACAAACGGAGACATACAGATTGGACAGTTAAAGATTGGTTCCGGAGGTGGCGGTGGCGCTGCAGGTGGCTCCACCTTGTTCTTCTGTATGGAAAAAGGAATGAGACGTAAATGATTTGAAGGAAACAATCAGCAGCAATCTTCAGAGACAGAGAAATAAAAGCCGTGAAGAATAGGAGATATGAGTTAAAGTGTAGGCACTACCACGGAGCCACTGTTGCTTTCCAAATTAATCAAATCACAATTGATAACTGGAACTCTTCTACGCTTTTCTAGCATACAAGGTGTCACAGCCGTTGTTTGTCCTGCAGTGAAGGTGGTTAAGAGAGACTATTAAGCAAGAACCAACAACAAAACCTCAAAAAGCACTTAATCTATTAGTGGACAACGGTAAACATGACCAAGTTAAGCTTACAACTGGTATCTAGAGTGATACTAAAACAACAACAACAACAAAAATGCTCAACGGGAATAATAAGCAACCTGACTCCACATCGAAAACAGTCCTGGATCGAGTTCTGCGCGCATTGTTCCTGGCCTAGAAGAATCATGCACAAACAAAGAAACAACGGCCTTTAGACCCAACCTTTAAGGAGAATAGACAAGGTAATCTGACCCTCTTGAGAATAGGTAAAGACAGAAAACATACTTCAGCGAAAGCCGTTGGTGAGGATTCAATAACATCATCATCTAGAGCCTCGACATCAATGGTCGGAGCTATAAAAGGCACTTGTTGGCCTACTTGAACTTGATTTGTCGCATCTTGAGCTGAAGTTCCAACCTGGTCCCGGTTCTCACCTGGCACCACGTTCAAGTCTGGCACAGGCTTTTTTATTCGATTCCTTGAGGAAATTCCCTTAGCCCCCTGAGCCAGAGTGCTCATTCTCTATTTAACAGTTTCCACAGTAATTGTTCCGCGCCTGAATCAAGTTTTCAACACAATTTAACTTCATTTTGTAATCCAAAGAGAACGAACAAAGAAAGGAGGATTCTTTGATAGGGACGAGGCACATCGCACATTCAAGTTGTACAACATTTAATGGCCAACCCTCAGACTCCAAACAAGATGGACATTGAAAATGAAACACAAAACACCACGAGTTAACGCCAAACGAAACATTACCAAGGAACCCTCGAACAAAAGCCTCAGGCTAAGCAACAATCGGCTCTAGCAGCAACAACCAGTTCATAACACTGAAATTCTCTATTCCTAAACTTTTCTTTCTCATGCTCAAAGTATGAACCTCAATCAAATCCGTCTTTTCATAACCAAATGAGCCGGTACGACATGAGACCATAGCAAAACTAAGAATTTCTTCAAAACTACCATCCATCGGCACCAATCGCCACAGAGAAAAAGACCGACTCCGTAAAACCCCTAAAAATCCCTGAAATAAAATCAAAACGCGACAGTCGACGCTGCCGCACCGAACAAATCGGACCAAGGCGGTGGCGGGCACCCAAAGATCGAACAAAAAAAAAAACCCCCCGAGAGGAGAAACGATTTGGTACCTCTACAGAATTGCGACTGAGCACGTAGGTTCCTAGAGAGGAGGATGGATCTGGCTTCAGTAGGGGATCAATGGAAGATGAGTCAATTTGCTGGTATAGGGAAAGGAAGCAGACCTTCTTACTCTCTTCGGAGTAGGGATTCACCAATCACCACCATTAATAAAAAGGCTCCTCTTCTCTGGTCTAGGGTTTTAACATAAACAAAACGTAACTTCACGGAAAATAAAGAGAGGGAGAAGGAAAAATTAAAAAGGACTTTTTTGAGGCCAAACCAGACCGAAGCGAAGAGGAAGCAAACGTGCTGGTACTGTTTATGATTAAATTAATTAAAAATTAAATATGGGCCAGGGCCACCAAAATAATGGAGAAAAAGAAGAACCCAAACGCTCGACTGGTCCAGGTGGAGTTCGCGCGAGTCGGCTTGGCGGTAAACGGCTTCAACGCGGCAGCACCCGTCATCATGCATTACGCAGTTTGGCCTTGCGTTTGCTGACGATACGACTAGGGGTGTCCATTCGGGTTCGGTTTTTCGGGTTTACCCGAAACCGACTCGATTATATATATTTTCGATTTTTCGGGTTCGGGTTTGTTTTGGGTTTCGGGTTTTCCGTTTTCGGGTTCGGTTTTGCTTTAACCAAACCCGAATCTGATAAAGAATTTTTGGGTAACCGGAACCCGCAAGTCCTTATAGGCTTCGGGTTCGGTTTTAGTGATTTTCGGTTTCGGGTTTTCGGGTTTTTTTATTTTGGTTTGGGTAACCGAACCCGACCCGAACTGACACCCCTAGATACAACACGCGTGATGTCACGCTCCGGATTCTTGTCTTTTGGAAATAGAGGTACTGCTGGTGGCTATATGGTACGCTCCGGTTAAATTGGCCCGACTTGATCTGGTCTCAGTCCGGTCTTTTCGGGAGTATAAGGATCAAAGGTTGCATTGGATACAGTCCAGTCTTGATCCAGTCTGGACTTGACTCGGTCCAGTCCCAATTCGGTCTTGATTTCAGATTGAGGTTTGGGGACTTGAGTGGCCTGAGGACTCAAGAGGTGAGAGTTGGTTAGATTTTGGGTGTTAGGCTCTCTTATCCAGTCTTTATCCGGTTTTTGATCCGGCCTCAAACGGTTTTTTTACCTCAAATTTAAGCCGAAAAATTGGATTGGATTGTTTGCTATCCGGTTCCTGACGGGTCTCGATCCGGGTTATACGATTCAGTTTCGGATAAAACCAAATAGCCCGGACCAAATAGCCAGCCCTACTACTTGTATTCAAACTTCAAATAATTACTCTTGGGGAGAGGTTATAGAGCATATCAATTGTACCAATATCATCGTCCATCTACATGTAATTTTAAGAGTGGTCCCTGATAAGGAATCTTCTTAGTTGAAATTATTTCTCATTTAACTAATGTAATTAGTGGAGTAGTGGCTAGGCAGTTACCCTCTTTGTAGCGTTGTGGGTTCTTGTTTCTGTTAAGGAGATTGGTATTTAAACCATTCTCCTAAATCAATACAAGCACTGCATTCCAATCAATTATATGGTATCAGAGCAAAGGCTCCGATTTCCTTAAACGATCTCATAACCTCTTCTCCTAAAAATCTGGCCCAATCTTCCTCTTCCCTATCTCGACTAAAACTTCTTCCTGCTTTGTCTACCAAACCTTCTTCTTCTCTCCAATCTTGACCAAAGTATCTCCTGCTTCTGTCTCTTCTCTGTCCATTCACAGCTGAATTCATTTTTCGCCATAAACCTTCTACAATCATGTCAGGTGAAACTGTCATCAATCTCGACGAGGCAAACACCATAATCACTTTGAACCCTGCTTCCCAGCTACCTACAAAACTCACCGGTGACAATTTCCCGACCTGGAGAGCCCAGCTTCTCACCCTTCTTCGCGGTTTAGACCTTCTCAAGTTCTTGGATGGCACTCATCCAGAACCGGCCGCCGATGCTCCTGCTGCCGATCGTCGTCGCTGGTACAGGCAGGACCAGCTGCTGCTTCATTCAATCCTCGCGTCCATGTCACCAGGAGTGGCTCCCTATGTCTCTGCCGCGCCCACGTCTCGTCAAGCTTGGACGATTCTGGAGCCAATGTTTGCCAATCAATCCCGCCAACGCGTCATCAATCTAAAAGAGAAGCTTGGCAAAGAACTCCAAGGCAATCGTCCAGTTGCGGTTTATCTTCAAGCCCAGCGCACAACAGCCGCTGAACTCGTGCTGATTAATGCCCCAGTTTCTGATGAGGACCTTATTCTTCACATTCTTCGTGCCCTTCGAGAGGAGTATGGCCATCTCTCTGCCGCCATTCGAGCCCGTGACAATCCCATTGCCATCGAAGACCTTCATGATCGACTTGTTGATTTTGAAGCCGATCTGGCCGCTGTTCGTCTCCCAAATCCAGCTCCCACCTCTGCTTTTTCCTCTGCTCGTGGTCGTGGTCCAGCTCGGCCATTTAGTGGGTCTCGCCGCACCATTCCCAATACCTCTTTTTCAGGTGCTGATTATTATTCCTCACGAGAGACCAGCCCTCGCCAGCAACGCAGCTCTTATCCTTCTCGCCCACTGCCAAATTATGCACCTGGGTCTGCTGCTCCATCCCTCCTTGGCCGGCCGCGACTGCAATGCCAATTCTGTGATCGCCCTGGTCACTCTGCGAAAGACTGCTATCGCATCAAGGGGCGTCCTCAAGCTCATCACACCACCACAGGCTCGTCCTCCTCTGCCGGCTGGCTAGTTGACTCGGCTGCCACCAATCACATGACACCAGACCTTGGTAATCTTTCCCTATACACAGACTATAATGGTCCTGATGAGGTGCTTATCGGCGATGGTTCAGGTCTGGTTATTACCCATGTTGGCAACTCTCACTTGTCTTCTTCTTTGACGCGCTTGAATCTCCATAATGTCTTACGTGTGCCTGCCATTAAGCGTCGTCTAATTTCTGTTGCCCAACTGTGCAAGTCTAATCCGGTTTCTGTGGAATTCTTTGCTGATTTTTTTGTTGTGAAGGATCTAGCCACGGGGGCGCATCTGCTACGAGGCCTGAATAGAGGGGATGTCTATGAGCTACCAGCCGAATCTTCCCCAGTTTGTCTTGCTTTATCCGCTGCAACCCGGCTTCCTTCTACGGTCTGGCACAACCGGCTGGGACACCCTCATTCCAAGCTTCTCTCTCGAGTGTTGCGTAACCAGTCTCTTCCCGTCACCTCTAGTTCTTGTTCTTCTTTATGTGACTCGTGCTCTCTTCATAAAAGTCGCAAACTACCATTCTCTGTTTCTAGTCTCACTAGTTCTCGTCCGTTTGATTTATTATATATGGATGTTTGGGGGCCTTCTCTAGTTCTTTCTCATGACAATTTTTCTTATTATTTGGTAATTGTCGATCATTTTTCCCGTTATACATGGCTTTATCCTCTTCGCCGTAAATCTGATGTTCATCATATCTTTATCACTTACAAATCAATGATTGAGAATTACTTTCATACATCCATTCGGCGAGTATATAGTGATGGCGGTGGTGAATTTCAAAAACTATGCTCCTTCTTTCAGTCCCATGGCATCACTCACCTCTTAACCCCGCCCCATACACCACAACATAATGGTCTTGCTGAACGCAAGCATAGGCACATTATCGAGACTGGTCTTGCCCTTCTTCATACAGCCAACCTTCCTCTCCGTTTCTGGTCTCATGCTTTTCTCACAGCCACCTATCTCATCAACCGCCTACCCTCCACCTCTCTCCATGGTACATGTCCCTTCTATGCCCTGTTCAATGAAAACCCGAATTACCTTAAACTCCGTGTGTTCGGCTGCTTGTGCTACCCTTGGCTCCGGCCTTACTCCGCACATAAACTAGATCCACGCTCTCGCCGCTGCATTTTTCTGGGTTACTCTCTAAACCAGAGTGCGTATCACTGCTATGACCCACTTTCCCACCGCATTTATACCTCCCGCCACGTCCAGTTCGATGAGGCTGTCTTTCCTGGGACTCCCTCCCTCTCTGATCCTCCCTTTGATCCTCCCTCTTGGGTTAGCATCACTACTCCTCCTGTAACCATTTTTTCTATTTCTCCTTCCCCTTCCTCCTCTCCCCCCGTGACCTCCTCTCCTCTCCCGTCTACTCCAGCTGCTCGACATCACCAACCCACCACCTCGGCTGTGCCCCCCGACGCTCTTTCCTCCCAGCAGAATCTTCTTCCTCCACCGCCGGCCAAACCGGCCCATCGTCCGGTCACTCGAAGTCAGCGGGGCATTTTTCTCCCTAAGCGGTTTTTCGTGTCACAGGCTGCTCCTGTCGAGGTAGAGCCCACTTCTGTCAAGCAGGCACTTGCTGATCCACGTTGGAATGCGGCCATGCGTGCCGAGATACAGGCTTTTTAATCTAATCTCATCTCCACGATGGCCTTCCTTGTCTACTATGGCAACAATCTCATCTCCTGGAAGTCCAAGAAACAACGTTCAGTGGCTCAATCCAGCACCGAGGCAGAATATCGAGCTCTCGCCCACGTCACGTCTGAACTCATATGGATTCAGAACCTCCTGCGTGAGCTCCATCAACCAGCACCATCCGTTCCGACACTCTACTGCGACAATCTCGGCGCCGTCAACTTCTCTGCCAATCCCATCCATCACTCGCGTATGAAGCACCTCGCGCTTGATTACTTGTTCGTCCGGGATCTTGTGCAGTCTCACCAACTTCGCGTACAGCATATTCCCACGGCGTATCAACTAGCCGACTCCTTGACGAAGCCTCTCCCCATCACTCGCTTTCAGCTTCTTCGTTCCAAGATTGGTGTTGTACTAGCCACCATCTTGCGGGGGCGTGATAAGGAATCTTCTTAGTTGAAATTATTTCCCATTTAACTAATGTAATTAGTGGAGTAGTGGCTAGGCAGTTACCCTCTTTGTAGCGTTGTGGGTTCTTGTTTCTGTTAAGGAGATTGGTATTTAAACCATTCTCCTAAATCAATACAAGCACTGCATTCCAATCAATTACAGTCCCTACTGTCAGTTTATCAACTTGAACAATTATCTCACTCCTCATTTTCATGCCACCTACTTCAATGTCATCGCCTGCAATTGAAATTGTGGGTCCTACTTAACTTTTTCATATTATTCATATTCATATTATCTCTATCATTTTACTTAAATATTGCAATATCTTTGCAAAACCTTCTCATTGTTGGATCGTCCAACGTTTCTTTCCTTTTCCTCCTTTTTAATTTGACCTGCAAAGGTCATATATATTATCGTATCTGTTGTCTCCCCTTGCAGGATACCTTTGGCAAAAAAATATCTTTTTATAATTAATATCAATTAAAGTTAATAAATATAATTATAAATTTTGATTTTGTGACGACTACCCTTGTTTTGTCGATGAAAACTTCTGCTTCGGATTAGTCGAAGATCGATAGGATTTTGGACAGGTAGAAGCTTCAATCCATTTTAAAAACTTCTACTTCGAGAATCGCCTCTTATAGAGAAGATCTTAGGCGAATAGAACATTCGTTCCAATTACAAAACTTCTACTTTCATAGTTGTTTTAGATCGTCGGGATTTCGAATAGGTAGAACAATCGTGATAATGGCAAAAACTTCAACTTCCAAATTATCCTAAGATCGACAGGATCTTACGTATATGATAACGAGATAATGGTAAAAACTTCCACTTTTGGAATCGGCTCAAATTGACAGGATCTTGAGCACGTAGAAAACTCGTGTTGATAACGTGTTATGAATAGTTATCTTGAAGATGGACACAAGCAACACTATTAGCACGAAGTAGAGCAGAAGAAGAAACACCGCTTTTATTTGATACTCTCAACCCCATATTACACCGAACACTGGAAAGAACATGTATAGAGTAACAGAGGTAATTCCTTCTTTTTGGTATATTCTCATCTTCTCCAAGTATGCCTTTATATAGGCCCTTCTCTTCATTAGTTGGAGGAGGCTAGGGAAATGGTAGTTGAGAAAGCTTTATAGACATTCGACTGGATTTCATAATACTCCCTCTTGGATGTCCATTGATTCAGAACATGCTTCTTTCAAAACTTGCTAGGAAAAACCCACTAGGATAAAAACCTAGTGAAGGAAAAAGAGTACATGATTCATTTGTTATGCCTTTGTATACTGCCTCATTAAAAACCTCACCAGAATAACCCAATGGTGCAGAGGTTAATTTCTCTCCCTCGTGGTGAGATCTATCAATAATTTGGAGTCATCAAACTTCAACAATCTTTCACAAGATAGTGTGGATTATTTTGCTAGTCATGGTCATTTTTTACCTTTGGAGTTCCATAGTTTTTCAGTTTTCGGATCCTGTTTTTACCAATTTATCATGTATGGTTGTCAAAGACTCTCTTAGTCTTGTTTTGTTGTGAATGAAAGCTGAAATTTGTTGCACCATTTATATAAAAAAAACCTTAAAAACTAAATTTTCATAGGATTTTAACTATTTTGAGGTCCTAACTAGTTAAATTGATTGAATTTGGAACAAGTCAAATTGAGTTAACGGAATCAAATCAAATCACTGAGTCAACTTTCCTTCTTTTCCCGCATTACCGAAACCTTATGAGCAACCCTTATTTTTTCTTTCTCCTCCATCAACATCACCTCGTTCTCTCTAGCATGTAACCAGTTCCCATCATCAACCCAAAGCGACTCATTAATTATCACTAATTTGCAACTTCCAAGCAATCAATTCCATGGATCCATGACTTCCGCTAACAATAAGGGTGGTCAACGGGAAATGGATATTTGGGTATACCCATACCCGTCCCATTTTTTTGAGGGTTACGGGTACCCATAACACCCGTAATATTATTAACCGATGGGATTTGGGATTGTAAATTCTTACATTGGGTACCCGCGAGTTACCTGCAAATACTCGTTTGGGTAATATGGGTACCCGTTATACCCATTCCTGATATGCCCGTTATGCTTTTGCTGCTTAGCTGATATGGTTTCCCCTTTAATTTTGTGATTTGCTGATTATTTTGTGTTTAAATTTTTAATGAAATTGCTGAATATATTGTACTGGCTGTTAACAAACCCCACTTCCTCACTTGCAATCGTGTATGCTATTCCATTGTACATTCGGTGCTATGTTACATTCCTTAGTTTTAGAGCTTTATGTTAATTGCCCATGTATATATTCCTTTCCAGATTAACGAGAACATATATCTTTTTCCCTATTCATCTGTAACCCTTTATATTGCAGGTTGCAGCAGTCAGCGGAACTGCAGAACAGCAACAACTTGGTGCTTGGAACTGTCAACCTTAATACTGAAGTTGGAATGTTTTATTTCTATTTTGTGATTGTTCATGAATCTGTATTTTGCAAGCCGAGTATTTGTGATTGTGTGATTGGGATGGATTTTATAATTTATATTGATTTTGTGATTGTTGAGCATGTACAAGTTGTTAAGTTTAAATTTTTGTCAAAGTTTGAGTGATTCGATCTTTGGGTATTTATGGGTAGTTTGGGTACCCGTTGTTCATCCCGTACTGGTAACGGGTACCCGTTTACCCATACGGGGTTGGGAATGGGATGGACTTTGCTCTTAAAACGGGATTGGGTACCCGTTTCAAACGGGACGGGTATTCCATCCCGTCCCGTTGTCCACCCCTAACTAATAACTCCATGAGAGCTCTTTTGACTGTTCATTAATAATCATGTCTACCAACGATGCTACTACTTCTACATCTAATGCAAAACAATCAAAAAAGAAAAGAAATGTTCATAAGAGTAGAAATATTTGGCTTGGGAATATGAGAGTGAATTGCATTTGTTGATTTGTTCTAATTTTGATTACTTCAGTGTTGACTTTGTACAATTATCTCGAGAAGACAATATCTCAAGTATTTAGGACTTGTCTAATTAATACTATCCAGTGTTTTATGTCTTATTTTTATATGGTAATTAATGTCCTACATTAAAAATTATAACTTCTTGTTGAACTCTCTAAATTCATGCTCCAAACACCCATTGTTCACTAGGATTTTAATTACTTGGATCTTAGTTCTCTAAGAACAAGCAAATTAGTGCACAAGAAGAAAATAACATAATATGATAATACAGACGGAATCTCATTTCTTTGTCAAGTAGTTTTCAACAAGCTAACAGAAATAAAGAAAGTAAAGTAAAGAAATGGACTATGAAATAACAAACAAACACTTGTTAAGAAAACAAGTTAAAACCAAAGAGATAACAAATCAATTTGAACAAAGAAAAGCTCTGACCCTTTTTCTTAGAAAAGAATTCAGAGCTTCTCAGTTATTCTGATCATGAAGTTATTGACTGCATCTTTCTCTAACACAATCCAGGAAGACTCGAATAACTCATGGAAGTACTCTGCTCCAATCTCCTGCGCAGCATTTCTGAACGCAGCTCCAAATGCATTTCCTTTCAGCGCACCCAGTCGAGGCTTCCCGCACACTCCAACTATCAGCATCTTATTTGCATCTGGTGACAGGCAAGCGCACAGCAATGGCTTCGGCCGAGCTCCTCTCTCTCTCAATGCATCCATTACAAAGTAGCAGAACTTTGTTAAGGCCTGTGGGTATCCCAACAGCTTGGTGTCTATGGAGTCCTCAAGTTTCACCCACCTGAACTTTCTCCCACTTCTAACACACCCACTCTTGGTAATGGCTGCACTTCCTTGCCTGAGAATAGCCCTCTGCACCTTGATCGCCTGTTGCATTCCAGCTCGTAACTTGTCGAGATTGTTCAACGACAGTGCATCATAGGCCACCCCAAATTGCTTGGAAGCACAAGAGCCATCGGAATTCACAAATGATTCCAGCAGTGCTGTCACTCCATACACCACATCTGCTGCTGAAACCCTCGAGCTATAACCATGCAGCCTCAGGAAACTCCTGTAGTAAAACTCATTAAGCCCATACTCGGGTAAGAAACGTTCAAACTCATCTTTCATCTTTTTCTTCACCTCAAGATTCATGTACTGAAATTTCTGCTGGCAATCCACAAGTGCAAACCCCATCCTGGCAAGAAGAAGCTTGAGCTTCTTCATGCCATTGTCGCTCCATGTCTTCAACTTGGGTGCGATGTAGGAAGAGCACAGCATTGAGTCAAACAAATTCCACTCCCGCAACAACATAAGTCTTGGTTCGTCTTCATATGAGATTCTCGATGACTCAGGCGCTCGAATCTTGGTTCCATCTTTCAGAGTCACCGCGGTAATTGCCTCCAGATTTCCCATACTGTTGATGTGCTGTTCTAGCTCCATCACCCCAGCCTGGTACCTCTCATCTGTCAGCCTCTCGTGAACAAACTGATCAGTTAGCGAGACACAAGCTAACCAAAGCAGCTCATTCGTATTCTTCCTCAAAGAATGAGACAGTTCATACATCAAGCACCCAGAGGGCTTCCCATGGAAAGTACCCATGCTATAGTATTCCCTCTTCAATTTCCTGTAAAGCTGAAGAGGGTCATCTTCATTATCTTTAGATACCTTCCGCCGCTTCCTTGCATTCCCATCTCCATCCTCATCCTCACTGTCACTGTCTTCATCCCTCTCGCTATCAGAACTCTCATTCCCCTCATCATCACTGTTCAAGTCACCAGCATTAGCCAAAGCAGAAACATCGAAATCATGAGCCGCATCAGAAAAATCATAAGCCAAGTCAGCTTGTCTCTCATCCTCCCTGGTATAGAGTATCACAACATTCTCATTCTGCTCATTCAGGTTGTGCAAATGGATCGGGCGGTGGCTATCGACAACGAAAACCCGAACCCCAGGGCCCAACTGCAGCAACCTCCTCAAATCACGCTGGCATCCCCAGTTGACTAAGAGGATTGAAATGGGCTCCTCTGATGATGAAGAAGTCAGATCTTGGCCAGCATACTTGTGAATTTCTTGGAAAGAAGACACAGGGTAACAGGCGTACCGGATCGAATCCGACTCTATGATGTTGAAAATGACCTTGAGCGCACAGAGCGAATCTACATCTGATGTCGACGGGAATATGAGTAGAGGTGAGAGCGAGGAAGCTGAGACCGACTCCCGAAGGCGTTTATAGAAAGACTCCACCTTTTGCTCTCTCACCATGACTCCTTCCTTTTTTTCTCCCCCTCAATATTCAGTCCCCCACAACTTCTAATCCAATGAAGAGCAATAACCCACTAGAAACTGACCGAATTAGGAACACATTGGTGAGGAAACAATGACCAATCTCACACCAGGGCAACTCAAATTGAATTTTAAAGCTCGCAACAGATTGATTTCGCCCAAGGAACTAGCTAGAAATCAAAAGTAACAGCATTGACCTAGCTCGGAGAAGCTTCCAATGGATCTAAGAAAACAGAACAGCCGCAGCTCAATTAGGGCAAAACAGGATTTGAGCTCCAATCAGCGAGGCGACTACAGCTTTCCCGAATTCCCTTTCAAACTTGCTACTCGACGGGCGCCGAATGTTAGTAGTTGGGGAAGAAGAGGGGATACCTGAGAAGTGTCGGCGGGAAATGAGAGAACCTTCGCTGGATTCGCCTTCGGCGTTGGAATCTGAGAGAGGCGGCGAAACGGAGAAATTGGAGGAGGGTGGGTTTTCTTTTGGGGGGAGATGGGAGAAAATTTGGAGGTTTTGAATCTGTTGTATTGGAGCCTTTCAGTTTTGGAATTGGGAGGTTCTGAAGTTTTCTTGAGCATTATGAAATGTTTTTGAAAATTTGGAATTGGCCGCCAAATTTTTTGGTTGGCGCTGGTTCAGCGGAGCTTGTTTGAATGGGTCAGATCTGGAGGGGTTTCGATTGTCTGTGCGCACGACTAGAATATAAACGTGCAGAGCATCTGATCAGACCGATCATAGTTCGGTGATTTAACGGTCAAGATAATATTTGTAGTCTAACTCTTCTGGGTCCCTACTTTTTTGGGGTGTTGCGACAAGTGTCAACTATTAACACCATAAATGAGTTACACTTGACATATATATAATTCATAAATCATAATAAGACAATTTTCTATAATTTATACTTATATTAAAATAAAATACAATATTACAAACAAAATTATAAATCCTCATATTTAATTTCAACATTTAACGTCAACATCCAAATGTTTATACTTGAATCCGACAAATAACATGGACATTCATATTTAAATAAAATATGAAGTAGTATAGTGGTGACCAATTAACATTCCATGGGGCCTCATGAAGCATAAGTAAACTACGGTATGAGTCAAGCAAATAAAAGTTTAATTCTAAACTAATCAAGTGCAAGTTAACAAGTTTAGATCTTGCCATTGCGTGGGAGATCACCTTAGGTAAGCTCAAACTTCTCAAGTTAAGTAAGCAAGTATAGGCTTAAGTATGACTCTTCATCGTGTGAGAGATTGTTTCAAGCAAGCACGTATAAGATATCAAGTTAATAAGAATAAGTGCCCTCGCTTAACTAGTCGCACACGATCACCTTACTCCTTGTAGATGAGGAGCACATTGTAGAGGAGGGGTCATGATCATGTATGAGGTACTGGACGATTGCTTAGATAGCACGATGTATCATGTTTCCCACAATGAGGAAATTCATGATATGTATGTCACGATCAGTGCCGGTCGCGGTCACCACTACTCTCTATAGAATGTAGATGGGGAGAGTATGTCATGTTACTCCTTGTAGATGAGGAGGTTATGTTCATGATACGTTGGTGTCAGACGGTTGTGCTAGTTAGGTCGAGGGCGGGATCCCATTTCAAGTTAAGTAATACTAGAATTAAGAGTTGTTAATAATAATATACTTTTACTAATGTACCAAATAACGCACCATAAGCATTGCATGTGCATGATTGTACTCTTATGTCTGATAAGGAACTAAGGATTAGGACTGACCCCATATTGTTGAAGCTCCAGAAGTGCACTCAGAAAGTCGACAATACATCTAAAGACCATCGGTTTCAAGGACTCCAATATGGAGTTAGTTAAGTTTGATAGCTGATGGGGCTTGAGACATGATGCAGTTTTATAAAGGCTATTGATTTTTGTCAAATGTTTCACGCCATGTTGATCTTTTAAATTTTCATGTTCGGTTTCTTTCCAAATGACGTTTCCGCTTTCTCTCACGTATTTAACATTTATAATTTAGTATGGGCATATTAGTAAAAGTAGTGCTCAGTCGAGCTAGGGTGTTGCAGAATGCTTAATTTTTTTTCCACTGACAGGAGGGCGAAGCCATGAATGCTTTAATATTGTAAGAGTTTACAACGAAACATTGATAATGATGGTATCTAATGGATAGTACCCACAGTACATGTTATTAATAACTTTTTTCTCAAAATATTGATATTGATATAAACACTATAAACAACTAAGTTCTGTTTTTTCCCCCCTAAAATGCAAAAGAAAATGATTGGATCTAATGGTCGTCAATCATACTACATATTATTAATAACTCTTTCTCAAACATTGATACTCTTATACTCACCCTTTTAATAATTATACGAATTATAATACTGATTATTAAGAAAATATTGATAACCATAATGTAATTCAATAATAATAATTATAAAAAAACGACATCAAGGTTATTGTAAACCGTTCAAAAAGAAAGCAAAAAATGTTAACAACTTGGCTCCTAGCCACCCCCACCCCGACGCTACTAACTTCCTTCGGCGAATTCCCACTGTCCTCGACACTCATAAGTCATACCTTTCCCTTTCGCCGTCAAATTGAGTTTCGGAGACCCCATACCACCACCACCGCCAACACAAAAATTATGCTCCATGAAAATGATGCAAGGAGTCCGCTAACATAATTGCCTAATCAGCAAATTTGATTAACAGCCGACGGTTCTGATTTAGTGAAATATATTGAAGTGCAAAAACCAAGTGTGAACACAGTCGTACATTGTACGCCCGTCGAGTTTTACTATTTAGAGCATAAATGAACTGTAATTTTGGGCATGATACTATATCCTAACCTCTAATGGGTGAACCTCAGTCCTCAATTCTCTAACCCAAGCCACAATATTTATTTAATCTAAATAATAATAGCCGACGGTTCTGATTCAACGAAATATATTGAAGTGAAAAAACCATGTGTGAAGATGTTGGGATTTTTAGTGGTGTGAATGGAAATGAAAGGGGAAAGATCCAAGAGAGTCTCTTGAAGTACCATATTGGTAAGATGTGGGAAAGCATGGCCTCGAATTCGATCGATTTGATGTAATATGTAGTTAATTGGTTCGTGTAACCAAATGAACCAAACTCAGTTGAACCAAATCGAACCGAACCGATATGCCGGTTGGAATAACCAAACCGGTTCAACTTCCATGAGGCCGAACCAATGCAATGGTTGAAATATTATAAACGAACCAATGCAATGGTTGGGGTGTATCCACTTATACAAAGAGTTGTCTCACTTCGTAAGCACCCATTCATTCTCTATAAATAGCACCTACCCCCCTCTGGTTTTTACATGGATTTTTCCGGTACCAAAATTCTGCCAAAATCCAAAACTAGTTTTCTGCATTCTTTTCAAAGAGAAAATAGAGTCAAGTGTGGTTCTCACCGGTTCGCTGCAACACAAGCAAACACATAAAATTAAGAAAACATGCAAAGATACATGCAAGCATCCTAGCCGGTAGAATTCACTATCTCTCCTTAAAGAATCTTATTCCCATCTAGTACCCAAGGTTATGGAATGATTCCTCACAGGATAGAAAGGACGTACCTTTTCCGGCGTAGCGGTACCTCAAACCCCGGAAACCATCGAACCGGCGAGAACCACACTTGACTCTAGTTTCTCTTTGAAAAGAATGCAAAAAACAAGTTTTGGATTTTGGCAAAATTTTTGGTACCGGAAAAAAATCCATCTATATCTCGTAGTTAAAACTAGAGGGGGGTATGGTGCTATTTATAGAAAATGAAGGGGTGCATTGAAGGGAGGCAACTCTTCATATGGGTGGTTACATCCCAACCAACGCATTGGTTCGTTTTCAGATAATGAACCATTGCATCGGTTCGGCCCATGGTAGTTGGACCGGTTCGGTTATTCCAACCGCCATATTGGTTTGGTTCGATTTGGTTCGACTCGGTTTGGTTTGGTCCATTTGGTACACAAACCAAATTAACCGATTAACCACATATTATATCAAATCAATCGAATTCAAGGCCGTGCCTTCCCACATCTTACCAACATGGTACTTCAAGAGACTCTCTTGTATCTTTCCCCTTTCATTTCCATTCACACCACTAAAAAATCCAACAATCCCCCACATGAATGGAGAATGTTGTACTTTAAAAACTATGCAAATAAATCGTGTGATTCTCTACTAAGAATTAGTTGCATCGGAATAGGTAGGTTTCCCTTTGAACCTTCCTTAGTGAACATATATCGAGTGTACTCACCAATCGGTAAATGTGATATCTTTGAACCATCGGTTTTGCTTGTATACTAAGACAACATATGTCACACAACAACTCTTATCTGTTCACTGGTTCTCATTGTTGTGTTTGTTTTAGCCATGAACACCGCCTGATCTCATGAGTGCTTAGAGGACGAACGGATCGAGATCGCCATCATGGGAACGATGCATCGTTGCAGAAAATAAAAATGGAACGTTGCATTCAGTTGAATGAAACGTTCTATATAAGTGTGGAAAGATGATGAACGGAAGTGAAGCATAATTCTGTGGTCATCAAAATTGGCACAATTACTCCTTTTAAGGTTTTTCGTGCATGGATTTTGATGTCTCCATGTTTTTGGTGAAACATGGTTGATAAAGGTGAAGATTGGTTGGTAACCAATTTAGTGGTCGTTGAATCAATTTGATTTGGTTAAGTGGATTTCAAATACCTTTGTAGTATTTGAGATGTGAACGAACTCATAATCATATTATGAGAAGACTTCAAGGAAATTCAACTTATTTGAATTTGAAGAATTGACAATGTATTCAAGATAGCCCTTCGTGGACTATGAGGTGGTGAGGATATTGTTAAGGTATCCGGTTAGGAAATATGAACAACCATAGGTGTGTGAAACCTATGATTAGAGGCTTGTGAGGATTTGTGTTCAAGTATATCTAAGCCTAAGTTGTTGCAAATTGAATGCAAATGTTATGTTCAAAATAAGATGAACATAATTCGAAAAAGTATACCTCCAATGGGGTGGAGATGTAATTTGGTTAATGCATGGCTAAAGAATTGCATTACGAGAAAGCCACAAGCAATAAGAAATTATAATTTCTACAATGCTTGTGGAGGCATGATATTTATTTATCATGTATATGGTTTAGGACTTGATGTTTCTTATGCCACGAGGGCAAGGAAAATGAAGCTAAGATTGATCCTTATGGAGATTGATAAGCTTGCCAAAGAAAAATGTTCATCAAAGAAATCATCGTCAGAATTGTTTATGGTATATGTACGCAATACCATTGGAAAACAACTTGACTTACGATTATTGTGTGTAGCTATGTGTCAGAATTGTTTATGGTATATAGATATATATCATTGGAAAACAATTTGGCATGAGAGCTCAATTGAGATTATCATGTTGAACTTAAAGTCTGAATTACTTATGGTATATTTATGAAACTTATATATACCATTGGCAAGTAATTAGACTATTGACTTAGAAAATTCATCGGAATTACTTGTGGTATGTCAAGCTTCTTTGGCTAATGTCATTGGTAAGTAATTAGATCTTAATTGTTTGTGGTATGCTAATCGAATTGGATCATACCATTGATAAACAATTAGATACATATAGTGGTTGTCAAGTTCAATAAGTAAAACCATGGAAAATAAATGGGATTATTCCATGATGTTTGGCAAAGGGTAAAATTGTGGTGGAGAAGAGCTAGCCATTGTTTCGGCTACTATCTCAAGACCCTACAATGGGACGCAAACCTATCCATAAGACAAAAGTGGAAAGGTAAACGAAGTCATACTTGAGAGTATGAAGGTGTCCAATGCGAAAGTGAGAGTCCTTAAACCTTGTGGAGTTAACCCAGTCCAAGGGTATAACTTATGAGTAAACTCTAGCATATATTAACGTTATGTCAGAAAGTTAGAATATTTATTGATGTTGATCCACTCTTCCCAAAGAGATGATTTTGACCATATACATGAATGTATATGAGCAACATTTCCCCAAACCGGAAACGTTGGTTTCAACAACTATGGCAAAATAGTTGAAATGTGGGGGATAAATTGGGGAAAAGTGATGTGGAATGTTACTTGGATGGTTCCAATTAAAGTGATACTTGGAAGTTTTGCGTACACCCTAAGCTAAGTCATAAATGCCACTACATTTAAAGAGATACTTGTGAAGCTCAAGTACTCTAAGGTTAATGAAGTGGAGAGACTTCAATACCGTAGGCATGTGTTATGATTATTGCAAGACAATAAAATCAAGTCAAGCTCACATGATGTGTAGTGAATTAAGAGAGACGAGTCTTTGGTGTATTGTACCCAAAGGGAACTCACCGGATGAATCAAAAGGCAATCTATTAATGGATATGCATTTATAGTTGATGGGGAGTAGTACCTTGGAAAACATCCAAGTAGAACTAAATATCCACTCTAAGACCGGTGAAGTTCAATAGTCTGGCCCGCAAAGACTGGCGTTAATAAACGCACTTGTGCACAAAGTTGTTATTGCAAGGGCTATAAGTGTTATGTAATGAATCTCGTCATATATAAGGATACATAACACTATGGATTGATTAATTTTTGCAAAGTTATCTAGATTGATCATCTTAGATCAGATGATAACAAACGTGAGGCCTACCTAGAAATTAATTATAGCATCGAAGGGAATGGACTCGTGGCGGTAAATCTACCTAAGTAGGATTGGCAGACCCAACCTCTAGGTTCAAGGAGAATACAAAGTTGTGAATTATGGTCCGACATTGTCAAAATTATTCAAAGTCCATTCTCATGATGAGACAATGTTCGAAATAAGGGTAAACCTAAATATGAAAGGTTTTTAATGGTTCTAAGTTTGACATGTGGTGTGATCAAATCGTGTATTTTCGGAATACACGTTTAGAAATCACCTATGTGAGTGTGAAGTGGAGCCGCTTCAAAGAGAATAAAAGAAGGCCAGTTCTCTAAGCACTCATGAGACCAGGCGGTGTTCATGGCTAAAACAAACACAACAATGAGAACCAGTGAATGGATAAGAGTTAGTTGCGTGACATATGTTGTCTTAGTATACAAGCAAAACCGACGGTTCAAAGATATCACATCTACCGATTGGTGAGTATACTCGATATATGTTCACTAAGGAAGGTTCAAAGGGAAACCTACCTATTCCGATGCAACTAATTCTTAGTCGAGAATCACACAATTTTTTGCATGTTTTTAAAGTACAACATTCTCCATTCATGTGGGGGATTGTTGGGATTTTTAGTGGTGTGAATGGAAATGAAAGGGGAAAGATCCAAGAGAGTCTCTTGAAGTACCATATTGGTAAGATGTGGGAAAGCATGGCCTCGAATTCGATCGATTTGATGTAATATGTGGTTAATTGGTTTGTGTAACCAAATGAACCAAACCGAGTTGAACCAAATCGAACCGATATGGCGGTTGGAATAACCAAACCGGTCCAACTTCCATGAGGCCGAACCAATGCAATGGTTGAAATATTTTAAACAAACCAATGCAATGGTTGGGGTGTAACCACCTATACGAAAAGTTATCTCACTTCGTAAGAACCCCTTCATTCTCTATAAATATATAGCACCTACCCCCTCTGGTTATTACATGTATTTTTTCGGTACCAAAATTCTGCCAAAATCCAAAACTAGTTTTCTGCATTCTTTTCAAAGAGAAAATAGAGTCAAGTGTGGTTCTCCTTTCTATCATGGGAGGAATCATTCCATAACCTTGGGTACTAGAGGGGAATAAGATTCTTTAAGGAGAGATAGTGAATTCTATTGGCTAGGACGCTTGCATATGTCTTGCATGTTTTGTTAATCTTATGTGTTTGCTTGTGTTGCAAGAAAATAGTATACGTGAACAATTTCCACAACAGAAGACAAACGTAGAGCGTACGCCTAACGTACGCTAACCTTTGCCATATGGATACGACTCGTATGTTCCTGACACATAGCATGCTCCAGGATTTTGCACCGTTGATCTAATCTAAAGTATGTTATTAAATATGATTTAATTTATTATTTATCAATAATTATTAGTACCCATAGATAAATATACATACATTATAGTCCTCCAACAATTTTAACCATTGATTTTACTGTTGAACTATCTTATTTCGTACCTATGTAGGTTTAAGTACCCATTGTTAAAGATTTGTCCATTGAAAGTATTTTCATGTTCACAAACCAAAACACATCACCACCTCCAAACCCACGATTTGTTAAAAATAATTGGCTCTCCTATTCTGTTTTCCAGAGTTTCTTTTAACCCCTCTACTGTGCAATTGTTTCGATCTCAAGCTTGAAACCACTTCTAGATTAGAATTCAATTTACGGGTGTCTGGGTCTAGGCAGTGATACCATAACGGTGAAGGGAATGTAGCGATTCCAGACAAATTTGCTCCCAAATTGCAGGCTAGTTCTGCGTTGACGAAGGGAGCTGGTAGGTATCACAAAATTGGAACGAGATGAATTCGATACTCTGGTTTTCTCCTCCAGAAGCCTCTCCTCATCAAATTCATTGGTTCACGCAGCCCGCCACCGCCGCAAACCACGTCTCGTGAAAACATGATTCCGGACGGAAACCACGAGGAGGAGAATGGACAGCCCATCGTCAACGAAGCGCGTCGCTAAAGCTATCGTTAAACGATTGTGTTTTGACTTTTGATTAGATGGTTGTATACTTGTATTTCGATTTTGTGTTCTTTGGCTTGAGAAGGAAGTGATTGTTTCATCGATTATTCAGATTAGTGTTCAGACGTCGGGACAGAGCCATTGCAGCTGCCGTACACCCTCGGAATTTTGTAAAACGTAGATATGAACTCATATTTTCACAATCGAAGCATGAAATTTATTGTGGAGAGGAGAGGGTTCGACGATGGGTCATGGCTGGGAAGGGATTTTGATGTTGAAATGACCACTGTTTGTGGGGAGAAACTAAAATAGATACGAAAAATGTTGTTTTAGATTTTGCACCCAATTACGAAATTAGGTGTCTTTAAGTTATGATTAAAAGAAATTAGGTACTGTATTATGAAAATAAATGAAACAATTTGTGGGGGTTAAATACAACGTATGAAAATGTAAAAGTATCAATTAATTATCTTTAATTTGTAAATTATAGATAATATTATCATATTTAATAAAGGCCATCAGATTAAATCAACGTATGAAAAATCTGGCACATGTTATGCGTCAGGAGCATACAAGCGTGACCCATATATATATTATATATATATATATAACATCCCATCGTCGTATCCCCTCCATCCACCTTCACCCGTCGTGATTCTCTCCACCTCATCTCCTACATCACCCCTCCACTGTCACTCATAGAGACAAAACCATCATGACGTCCACGACGGAGATCTGGACAAGGCTAATGGTATAAAAAAAATTATAGATTGGAGTCGGAGCGGAGGGCAGATTCAGTTCCCATTTGGTTAGCCTACGTTGTTCGGCTATGGGTTTGGTTATAGGGTTCTGGGGTAATTTGGGATAAGAAGGTGAGGTGGTGGTGATGTCTAATCTTTCATCTCGGTGGCAGCGACGAGGGGCTAAGATCAGGTGACTAGGGAGTCCCTTAGTCACATGACTAACACTCTGTTCTCGAAGAAAGGGAGGAAAATGAAGGGGGAAGGAACATTTGGAGGGGGGGGGGGGGGGGGAAGGAAGGGAGAGAAAGTTTAGAGTGGAAGGAAAATGTTGTTTTATGGAGGAAAGTAAAGAGAAAAGTGGGACAGAAGAAATATATTGAAAAGTGTGATAGTTATGCTATTTTATTAGTTATATAATTATAAATAATTTAATTAGTTGTTGATATTATTTTCACTACTAATAAATAGTTAATCAAATTTATTCTTTATTTCTAATTTGGTTCTCACTATAAATAAATTTTCTCGATTTAACATCTCGTTCATTTTAACTCCCATAAAATTTTCTCATAAAATACATACAAATATTTTACTTCATCTTTAACCTAATATTATGTTAAATAGTACGGTAATAGTCATAAATATATAAAATTAATTATAGAATTTTTAAACAGATAAAATACGTATGGGAGCCTTCAAATAAACGGAAAGAAATGAAATGGCTTGATAATAATACGAATATGAAAGTTTTAACGGATAAAATATCTACGGATACATATACGTGTATTAAACGGAGTATTCACTAACTATGCTTCTAAAAACATATTTGTATAAGTTGTCTAATATCACTTTCAATATAGTTTTGCAAACTATGTCATGAATTTGTTGTATAGATAAAGAAATCAAAGTTAATTACAACTCACATAATTATAATTGGAAAGGGAGGGCGATTCCATTTTCTAGGAATTAGGGTTAATCCTCCATTAATATATATAGTACACGTTTATGTAGTTTTCTCCAATTTAAATTTCTTGCTGAATGAATCATCTGAGTCAAACTCCGGCGAAGGATCTCAGCTAGTTGGGCCGGCTGCCGGACAGCGGACAACAGGTTCTGACAACGACCAATCTCCCCTTATCATCGCCACAGGGACTGGAGATGAAGGAGAAGGATGTGCTTCCTGAGAATGGTAATATGAATATGAGCATTGATGGATCTTCGAGTGAACCGGCGACGGCTCCACAGGCTTTGTCTCTGCCGCTATTGTACGCGAACCCTGTGACAGGACAGAGCCCTGCGAGTCCCAAAGCTTTGGTTGACTGGACTCCAGTCGGCGAACACGACCTGGTCCCCAGTACTTTCAATGGAGAACCGGAATTGAAGGTTTCATCGGTATTCAAGGAAAAACTGTGTTCGCCATGGCGACAGACTCTGGTTGTCCGGGCAGTGGGGCTCGATATCTCCTACATCACCTTCTGCAACAGGATCAAAGCCCTTTGGCGGCCGTCGGGTTCAATGGAAATCATGGGATTAGGTCACTGATGTTTTCTGGTGAAACTAAGCAATGATGCTGATTATTTTCGGGCGTTGACGGAAGGCCCCTGGGTGATATTCGATCACTATTTGGTAGTACACCTATGGACGTCGGCGTTTCGACTCTCTGATGAGCTACCTAAGTCGATGGTTGTTTAGGTTCAGCTGCCGGCCTTTTCAATTCATTTCTACCACAAAGAGATCCTTTTCTCACTGGGAAACATGATAGGAAGAGCAATCAAGCTGGATTATCACACGCTCTACCAGCACAGAGTCAAGTTTGTGCGAATCACCGTCGAGTTGGATCTATCTAAACCTATGGTCACACGTATCAGGCTCGATGGGCAGTGGCAGTATATTGAATATGAAAACCTCCCCACCGTTTGTTTCGAATGCGGAAGAGTTGGCCACTCGACCTCCTCTTGTCCATCATTGAGGCCAATAGCCGAGACCTCCCTCGCCGGCTTGACAAAGGGATCATCGGAATCTGTAACAATTTCGAGGCCGGAGGAGAGAGCCGGATTTGGGTCGTGGATGCAAGTGACGCGACGATCACGGTGTGGAAGCCGTAATTCTGAATTTGGTAACTCGACCCCAAATCAAGGAGATGTGATTGTGAATACTAGAGCTGGAAAAGGAAGGGGTAATCTGAAAGAAGGGGAATCTCCCAACGGTGCCAAGACCGGAACAAAAGAGATGGCAAGGAACAAAGAAGAGGAGGCGAGAAAGGGAAAGTCTGAAAAGGGGAAAGGTCAGGGGGCGCAGCAGAAGGGGAAAGGAAAGTTAGTGATTGAAGAGGTTGGGAAAGAGCAGAATGGAGGAGGAATACTTGTGCCCCAACCCCAATGGGCCACGAGCAGTAAAGAAGGAATTATTAATAGCCCAAACAGAAACATGAAAGGAATGGCGGGAGGTGCAGGCCTTGCGAGTGGACCGGGCTCAACCAGCAAAATGCCAACCTCAGGAAAGAAGTCGGGGGATTCGGCTCCACTCCCATCGCCAACACTTGCTGTGACTGGGCCCAACAACACAGCAATTCAGATTGTTTCTATCTCCTAGTACGAGAAACAAAAACACAAGGACGAGATCCCGGAAGCTCCCTCTGCTGCGGCAAGGACGAAGAACCATAAGAACCAGAAGAAAAAGAAATCCCCAAAACCGATTACGACCAAAGCTCTGCAAATCTGGACCCCGGTTAAGGAGAGGAAGAATAAAGCGAGACAACGACTTGCTTCACTTACTCTACAAGAGATAGCGGCCTGGACTAGTGCAACCAAATCTACTCTTCCTATGGAGGCAGCTGAAACCGACTCGAAGAGTGGCGTAGAGGAGAGCGGCATTGAGTTGTCGGAAGCTGTCGAGGCTCAACCGACTCCATTTTAAAGCCTTTGCCTCTGACGCTTTTCCCTTTCTCAGCCCTTTCTCTTTCTTTTGCGTCTATTTTATAGCTAGAATCCATTATCGTAACTTTAAGATTTTGTCCTGAAACGTAGGTGGGGCATGTAACACTGCCTTCTCCCGAGTTCTGAAGCTAATTGTCGACAGCCACAAGCCTGATTTTCTTATCCTCCTTGAGCTTCAAATCAACGGAGAGACGGCTAACCGGGTGTGTGGTAGACTGGGGTTCCCCAACATCATGCGGGTAGAGGCGGATGGCAAGAGAGGAGGCATTTGGCTTTGCTGGAATGCCCTCAACTTCCGTCTAGAAGTGATCTCGGCTTGCTTCCAACATCTCACAGTGATGGTTTTGACAGGCTCGGCCACTCCATGGTTGCTTACTGCAGTGTACGCTAGCCCCAAACAAAGCCTTCAACATCACATGTGGGATAACATCTTCAAGACCAAAGAGAGTTTTGATCTCCCCTGGCTACTCTCCGGGGATTTTAATTCTATCCGAGAGCCCAACGAGCAAGCTGGGCGAGCCTCTGCACATACCTTCAGGCGATGCAAACGGTTCAATGACATGATAAATCAAGCGGCGCTTATTGATTTGGGTTTCTCCGGGCCACGGTTCACGTGGACTAGAGGGGAACCGCCTAATGCTTACAAAGCTAGCCGTATCGAAAGAAACTTGTGTAACTCGAGTTGGAATGCCTCTTTTCCAGGCACAACAGTTCATCATCTACCTCGACTACATTCAGACCACCACCCCATCCTAACCACGACTGGAAATCAGGGAGTCTCCCCACCTTCACGTTCTTTCCGCTTTGAAGGCGCGTGGTTCTCACATGAGTCGTATGATGATTTATTGACAGGTGGATGGGACGAGCAGATTCCGCTTCATGAGGCTCTCCAGAAGATGGTCGAGAAGCTAATGAGCTGGAATCACACTACCTTCGGAAACATCCTCCGCAAGAAAAGAAGACTTTTGAATTGCATTCAAGGGATCCAGACGCGAGTGGCAAATGATTTCTCCCCAAGGCTCTTTAAGCTGCAAGCTAAGCTGGAAGCCGAGCTGGACAGAGTGCTTGAGCAGGAGGAAATGCGCTGGTTCCAACGTGCTTGGGAGAAATGGGTTCAATTTGACGAAAGGAACACATCCTATTTTCATCAACAAGCCAACATTCGTCGCAGAAAAAACAAGATCGAGAGCCTCAGGGACAACAATGGAGAATGGGTGTCGGATCCTCAAACTTTGGCATTACTAGTTTTTGACTATTTTGTAGCTCTGTACTTGCATGACAGCCAGGAATATTCTGATCACATGGCAAAGGAGGCTTTCCCAAGACTATGCCATGAGGATATGCTCCATCTTCTTCGCACTTTTAATGCTGCAGATATATACAGGGCTATTCAGGAGATGAAGTCGTTCCAGGCTCCTGGGCCTGACGGTTTTCATGCAGCTTTCTTCCAACGGTCATGGCAGGTCGTGGGTAGAGCACTTATTGACATGGCCTTGAGTTTTTTTGCTGCAGGGTCACTCCCAGAGAAAGTGGTGGAGTCGACAGTGGTGCTGATTCCAAAGGTTGATCACCCGGAGACGGTCTCCCAGCTTCGACCCATTTCTCTCAATAACATCTTCCTGAAGGCCATCACGAAAGCCATCACCAACCGCCTTAAGCCTATCATGAGGAAGCTGGTTTTCCCTCGGCAAAGTAGTTTCATTCTGGGAAGGCATACAACAGATAACATTATTGTGTTGCAGGAGGTTCTTCACTCACTTAAGAAAAGGAAGGGCAAAAAGGGAGGGATGGTCCTTAAGATCGACCTCGAGAAGGCCTATGATCGGCTCCGGTGGGATTTCCTTCGTGACACCCTCATGGAGATAGGCCTTCCTAGCTCTTGGATCAACTGCATCATGTTCTGCGTCGAAAATAATCGCATGCGTTTGTTGTGGAATGGAGAGTTGTCGGATCCTATTACTCCAACCAGAGGTGTTCTCCAGGGAGATTCTCTATCCCCTTACCTTTTTGTTTTATGCATGGAACGACTATCGCACAGAATTGAGAGGCCATCCAAGACAGTCTTTGGAAACCTCTAAAGCTGTCTAGGGATGGACAGCCGCCGTCTCACCTTTTTTTTGCGGATGATCTTATTTTGTTTGCAGAGGCAGAAGGGACGCAAATTAAGATTATAAAGCAGTGTCTGGATGATTTCTGTCATAGCTCAGGACAGAGGGTCAACTATAATAAGTCAGCTATCTTCGTCTCAGCTAATATTGACAGACGGATTGCTAGGCGGCTAGCCAACAGAGTGGGGATCCCTCTTACCGTTGATCTAGGGCGATACCTGGGAGTGATGGCGATTCATGGCAGAGTGACCAAGGACAGATATCAAGACCTCTTTCTTAGGATACAGAAGAAGCTAGCTCCATGGAAAGCTAAGCACCTGTCTCTAGCCTCTCGTATTACTATTGTGAAATCATTCTCTGCCTCCATTCCTATCTACCCTATGCAGACCGAGCTACTACCTATGAGCACCTGCAAGGCTCTGGATCGGGTGAATCGCAGCTTCATATGGGGGGACACTGAGGACAAGAACAAGCTACATTTAGTCGGCTGGCCACAATTACTCCTTGCAAAAAATGAATGAGGTTTGGGCCTCAGACCAACTAGAAATGTGAACTTGGCAATGCTAGCTAAGGGAGGCTGGAGACTCTTGTAGGAAAAGGAAACGCTCTGGGTTCAATTGGCTCGTAGCAAGTATGGAAAGGGGCGAGAAAATCTTGACATCCTGAGAAACATTCAGGGAAGTTCCTTTGCCTGGAAAAGTTTTGCTAAGGCAACTACCCTAGTTAAACAGGGTTGTGCTTGGAATATACATAAAGGAAATAGGACTAAGTTTTGGTCGGATGTGTGGATTAAGCAGGTACCACTTCAAGAGTTGGCGACTGGAGCAATCCCTGAGGAGGACCGTGAGGCTAAAGTTGCTACTTTTGTGGATGAAGAGGGGAGGTGGAAGGTGAAGAAGTTCGCCAACATTCTCCCGCAGGAAATTCAGCACCAAATCACAGTAGTAGCAGTGGACCGTATGGCAGTGGAGGATGATACTATCTTCTGGCAAAACACGTCCGATGGGAAATTCTCGACCAAAAGCGCCTTTAAAATGCTCCAGCATACCCCAAGAAATCAGAACCGGCGATGGTGGAAGGGCATCTGGCAGCTTCCTGTTCCGGAGCGGGTAAGGTGTTTTATTTGGTTGGCGGCTCAAGAGAGAATTAGATGCAATGCACAACGGATGGCGAGACACATCACGCAAGATCCATCCTGCTTTAGATGCTCAACGCAGGTCGAGACTGCCTCCCATATCTTCAGAGAGTGTGCTCCGGCGGCCTTCCTATGGGCGCGTACTGTCCCGGCGGATCTCCAACATGATTTCTTTAGCCTTCCCTTTGACCAGTGGATGAGATGGAATTTGGGTAAGGATGACACTACTACTATGGGAGTGCCTTGGAATGCCTTTTTCAGCATTGCTCTTTGGAATGTGTGGAAGAACAGGAATGAAGGCACTTTCAATGGTTTACACAAGACTCTTTCTCCACCCTCTCTCCTGCAAGTGACCAAGATCAA